ATATATATATATATATATATATATATATATATATAACGCAATAAAATGCCCTAGTATTCGACCGCTAAATGTGCAGCTATGTGCGCATGCACCCCTCAGGTATATGATCAGTGTATTAACGTGGCAACGGCTTGACTCAGCGCCAAGCAGTCACCTTCAAATAACGAAAATAATTTGTTTGCCACATGACCATCATGAAAAGTAGAAACTTAAAAGCGAGGATTGCACTTAAACAGTGACAAAAAAATAAGCCGGAGGGGTGCTGATTAAGATACTTTTTACGATTACCGACGACCACCACATTCGATCATAACCTAAAAGATCTTGCATGATTAAAGAAATGGTTGATGCCTCCTCACTCCCAGACTGTTTAGAATGCAAAAGTCAATAGTGACCGTACATAAGCGGGACCAGTTGGGTGAGCTCCAATATCCGGCCATTGTTCATATTACTTCTTCGAATAAGGTTAACTTTGAGGGGCTAAATTTTTCTTAATGTTCTTTTTTGCGTTTTCTGCGGTAAATACGGCTTTTGTGCCTAATTTGTGTACTCGAATAAGTAAAGCAGTTTCTTGTAAAGTTATCAAGCAATTTGTGAACCGTCAAAGTTTTTCTGTGTGGTAGTTGGTCCTGTCCCAGGAGTTTATACATATATCCGATCTGCACGATCGTGATTTTGGGGAAGCTGATAAAACGTTTTAGGAAATGTGCTTTCTTATTTTAGTCCCATTAGGAAGCAACGCTTCCTTTTTGGATGGAAGTACAGGTTGAAAATACGAACGTGTAGCTTCGTTTTTTTAACCTCTTGCTTTTTTATGGCTCCAACGTGCTGACTGATTAGCTGCTTTCTGGTGGAGAAGTTGAAGAAGAAGACAGCAGCAAAGGAAAGGGGGCAGCAACAAAAGAAGGAGGAGAACAGCGGTGTAGCAACCTTGAGCGCAGCGAAGCCCTGTCCCGTCACTACAGCTCCTCCACTTTTTTATATATATTGTGAAACAAGTGGGTGGGGACGATGGTTTGACGTAGTGGCAGCGAGTCGACTTTTAGTGCTACTAGTTCCGGTTTCGAATCAGGTAGCTCTACAGTTCAGTTCTACATATTCACGCCTTCTGCATGATTCTAACATCAAAAAGGATAGTCCACTATGCGTGCATCTTTGGTAGTATATGCCGCTCCTACTTTTCAATTGATTATATGAAGTTTAGACTTGTCTGTACATTTTAGGACGCTCCTCAGCTGAAGAAAATAGAACAGGGCTGGAGTGACAGAAATACGGCGGTGTTTTGGAGGCGCTGAGCGAGGGAGCAGTGAACTTTTTGTCGTTCCAGTAGAATGATTAGATGTCGCAACCCTTCCACCACTGATCAGACACTATAGTTGTTCCAGGAATAACTACAGTGTCTGATAAGTGACAGAATGGCAAAAATTTGAAGTGGGCCATAAATCACGGTACTGGACGGAGATTTTTACATGAACGGATTTGTATGGAGAGAAGTATATAGGGACAACGCGTTGTACCATCTTTGGTCACAAATAGCGGGATACCACTCACTGATCCATGGTTCTGCATAAAGGTGTTGACCTTCTTTGACGGCGCCTGATGGACAACTAAGCAGTCCAATTTTGGGAGTCTCTTCATTTGAGGTGCAATAATTGAGCTTTCTTATCAAATTTGGGGAATGGAAAAAAGGACTGGTGTCAAAAGATGAGCATGAAGTGTATCTCCCCGTTACAGGCACGAGCGAACAACCTGTGGCCGATGTCGCACACCACTCACAAGTGTATTTCGTATCACCTGTGCGAGTGGTTTCTATAGAGCTACACTGATTCCGTTTCCTCCACATCACGACGTTATCTTTGGGTCGACGACTCGTACTTCAAACTTGGGTAATAAAACGCTTCTGCTGTAACCACCACTGCTTACCTTGCCCAAACTTGAGTATTGGAAAATTTTTTTGCAGCACAGACGTGTTGTCACTATTTCAACCACCTTATACTCCTCACCAACATATTTGCCTTCATATTGCTATAAAAGGACAAACCAGCTCATATTGTCTCACTATTATTTAAAAATCCCCAACTGCTAGGCACATGTTTTTAGCGCCAGAAAAGGACTTCCCAGTTTCCAGTTAAGGTTAACATGATCGACATGCCTCCTCGACTGCGTCTAGCCGCAGTGACGGCAGCATCGCTTTCTCCACAGATTCCATGGAAGGGCGGCTTTATAAAGGCCCCTCATCTAAATATATATATGGGACCGTCAAAGTGCAAGAGCTCCAAAATATTAACAGTTTACTATTCCTCAGTGTTTCAACAAGTAATCTCTTTCCCGTCTTTCTGAAAATCAGCCAGGGTTCTTTCAATTTTTCCAAAATACCAGCTAGTTTTTCAGAGTTTTGACACCCAAATTTGTTCTGTCCATTCCAATCTTGTCTGTTCGCATCAGCTTTTATTGTGGCAACAAAAAATCTATCGCGTGCATCATGCCATTCGAAATGTAGCTGACTGGCGTCATTGTTTGAGAGTTGAAAATCTTTTCAGCTTTGGTTGTGATTATTTCCAGTTCTGCTGTGAATAGTCATTTCTCTACGGTTTTGTTCGAAGCCGTTCTACACGAACCGATGATTTTTTTGCATAGACTACCTTTCATAGGCGCATTTGAAGTGATGAAGGTCCATTCTGCACTGAGCTTCTCAGCTGCGGCTTTAGACTGTGTCCCATTGTCTGACACCACCGACCGTGACTCCCCTCGTCTTGCTGTAAATTGTTTGTAAGCGTTTAAAAGAAGTCTCTTCAGAAAGATCTTATACAATTTCTAGATGTAGTGCTGTACTTGTCAGGGCAATGAGGCATGTTCATCTTTCTTCTATCCTACCGTTTGGAACAATTGAATGTCCTGCATAATCGATGTCATTATGCAGAACGGTTTGTCTTTTTACAATCTAAAATTTCTACCGAAAATTTGTAGTAGTGTGAGAAAACACACCAAAATGATCACGTTTCTAGTGAGCCATCAGAATGAATGTTACGGTGAGCGAGTGTTGAGAAGTAAGGAAGATAGATGTTGTTTGGTATAAAATAGATAGTCTTTGTGTTTTTTTTTTTCACAAACCGTTTCCATTTTTTGCCAGTCTTCATTGCTTGAGTTCCTCATTCGTAAGCTCATTTTGGGCTTACGACAAAAAAAATATCTTGATCCAGGCCTTGCCATCGTGCTGCGTTGCTTCGTTGTTGGAAAGCGTATTACACGGCCGATGAAAAGTCTGAAGAAACAAGAGGATCTTTTATACGACGCCGGAGAGTCAATTCCAACTTTTTTACCTGTGTAGTCGATTACGGGACATCGTGTTTGCACTTGGTGCAAACCAACGCTATTTGCTGCTGTGACAGATAAAATTTAGTTATCGGCTTGAAATGGCCATTTGACCCGTTCTGTCCCAGTCAGTCTGGTCCATGCCACCACATATGACAGTGTAGTAATAATGATGGGAATAAGTCATCGGACTGCAATATCTGCCTGAGTGCTCTCTGATGAAACATAAGGAAGTTATGTTTGTGGTTCTGAATATTCAAAACCCTGTTTTTTGCAAGCATGGTATATGCTCAGTTTTTAAGCTGATAACCAGTATAATACGCACATGGGAGCTCATCAGACGAAAAAGTGCAAGTTGAATTGCTGGCTCTTTCCGAACAAATATAAGGGCTCGGACTCCAAAAAACGCGACTAGTAGCACAACTTTCGTAACTGTTGACCATTTAATCAACATTGGACGTCGTTTATAAAAGATTAGGTCTGTCTGGAGTTGGTCATTTTGTCTGCCCGCTGCATATAGCACAGCAGCATATCTTATTATAGAGGCACCCATAAATAAGTGAAACTGTGTCTCTTTAATTTCCATTGCTTTTCTAGAGAGTTCGGCGGTTTGGGCTTCCAAAGTTTTAAACAGCTGATTAGCTTCACCCTGGACTTTCACTAGGATTTTAAAATTCTGCCTGTTTCTAGCAATCCATAGTTTTTGGCAGAGTACTTTTCATGATAGCATCACTGGTGCGACCAATCTTGATGAGCCGTACTGCGCTGTTATGAAACTAAATATTGTTCTTTTGATGAAAAGTTTAGAATCTATGATTTTGATTTGGATTCTTAATGAATCAGTTCCAACACTGACAATTAAGGTTCGTTGGAACCGTCGTCATTTGGCATGTTTCAAACTGTTTTTTAGT